GAGAGAGAGAGAGAGAGAGAGAGAGAGAGAGAGAGAGAGAGAGAGAGAGAACAAAATCAAATGAATCTACCGCTAGAACATGGAAATATACATTGCGCACATGCGCGCAGCGCACCGCGCACCCAGATGCGCGGCGCGCGCCGGTGCGCGCGCACCCTGGGTCCGCGCACAGCACACCACGCAGCGCAGGCGCCGCAACTATGTTTCTGAGTGATGAATGGTACCAATTTCTAGCACACCACACGGCAAGCACATCATATCGCAGAGCAAACATGAATTTGCCACAGAATCATGAAAAGACGGATCACCTAGCATAACCAAGCCTGCGCAAGGGATCACCGAGGGCAAGGAGTGGGAAATGGAAGCGAGCTGACCAGCGGCTGATAAAGCATCCACATACCTTGGTGTAGTGACTGGACTCTCTGCGCAGCCTCGTGGGTTCATCACAACTGGGAAGCATCCATTTGCTACACATCAGAATCAAAGAGCAGGGAAACAAGCGGAGCACGGTGAGAGAGAGAGAGAGAGAGAGGATTGCGGTGGGGCTTTCACATCACTGGAGAAGGGGCACAACAAGAACAGGTCCATGAGAAAACGTTCTTTCACAAGAAATCAAATATTGATAGAAACAGACCCGCATATTTGAGGTTGATCTCAAATTAGGATAGAAATTTGTTTTACTGTGCACTCCAAACTTCAAATGACCACAAGGGGTTTCTAAAACCAACAAGACAGGGTAAATGTTGTCTCTATTACACATCAGCTCCTGCAACACACCTTCACCCATGCAGAATGGGCTTTCAAAAAGCCAGAGACCGGTTTTCACAAAGCATACTATAACTAAGAGCTACCGTCTTCCCCCGAATACAACATACAGTCAATATACCTGTATTTGAGGCAAATTTGAGTCCATATACAGTGATAATGACCATATATTCTAACTGGGGGAGGAAGGTAGGCTGCCAGAATGCCCCACAGTGTTCAGTGGCCCAAACCCACCTACCATGGTCACTTGAGCGGAGAGAGGCAGAAAAGTAACGATCGTACAGGGTGTGACTCGTTGCAAGAGATCTATCCTCTAAGACAAACCCTCTTATTTCTCTTTCCCCTTCCTAAACTCCCTCTCTCCTCTTGAAGAGGGTGACAGCCTGGGATCATCATTGAACTGACCCACAAACTCTGTCTGTTTATCAACAGTTCATGGTCATAGCCTCTTCCTCTACCCATATCTTTTTCGACTTGTTATTCTTACTCCTCAACGCTGAAACGGTTTTCACCTTTGCAGTAGCAGACGCAGATCCCAGGACTGGATCCCTAGACCTTGCCCTCACCCGTGTACAGTACCAAGTCAACCCATGTGTGTTTGAACCCGTGACCTGTGTTTTGGCAGTCGTCTGTTGTCTGTCGCAGGTTAGTGTGGTCGTCGGGTCTTGAACCATAGGTCTGTCAAGTAGGGGTCGTAGCTGTGTAAAAGTCGTAGCTGCTACAGTCCTGAAAGGTCAAGGTCGTAGCTGCTACAGTCCTGACAGCGGTACCCAGTCCCAGACGCACTTAGTCCAGTCAGCAAGTACCATGTGGGACTGTGTGCACCCTAGGCCCAGTGGAAAGGGGCAGACCGACGACCAACCAAAGTATAAATCAAGAGGCAGCGTCCAGTCATTCATTTTCATTCTGCCTGTGAGACGTGCGGAAGCGCTGCCTGAGCGTCTTGTTCAAGGAGGTCTGCAGGTGCCCGAAGGAGAAGTGGGCTATGAAGGAGACGAAGTGGCCATAGCAGATAGTAGAGAAGGTAGAAGGCGGCCATAGCTGCCTGAGCTTAGAGGTAGGCTGTAACGTGTAAATGTGGGAGTGTTATGTTCAGTGTGTGCATGTGTGAGACATCCAGGGAGATCCAGAGTAGCGTGCATGTGAACAGTCGCTGGGAATACAGTGTCGGCTGGATGTTGTGAGACGCACAGGCGCCATAGCCATTCGGAGCAAGTCTGAATCTGAACTGTGTTTGGTCTCGATATCTCTGAGCTTTGTGTGGGCGCCTGGAGCCAGTGTGATTATCATCTGTGTCCATGCATGCTGAGTGAAGAAGAAGACGACTCTGGTTGGAACACTGTCCTTGAACCTTTCCTTCTGGCCCCCTCCTCCTCTTCCTTCCCCCACTCTTTTTCTTCACCCTCTCTACATGGACTATTTTCCTCTCTTGTTCCTTGCCCGAATCCTTCCTCATCCTCCTCTTTCTCAAAAAACTTCTCCCCTCACACCCTGCTCAGTGGTGCCTCCTGATTCGTCCTACTACTACTCTATCACCACCACGAGCACCACCACTTTCTCCCCCTTTATTATCATTTAGTTTGAAACAAGTGGACCCGGCGAAGGACGATGACAAAAACATTTTGCGAAACACCCCGGACATCGGTTGGGCCCTATCTTTGCAATGTACCCCTATCGGACACTGTCCAACTTTGCAAAATGCCCCGGTAGTTACCAACTTTTCGAAGGTGCACTTGCAGAAGCCCAAGGCCCAAACAGGGAGGTTGACATTGCGAATTTGCACACGCGACAGGGGCATAACACAAAGATGTCAGCCCAAAAGGCCATTCCACTGTACCGAGATCTTTCAGGGACATTTTGAAATACATCTCAACTTATGGGGGTATTTGGCAAATTACCACTGCCCCAAAAAAGGCCAATGGCATCTTTTCAACATTTGGAGGAAGATATGCCAGTCTTCTCTCTCTCTCTCTCTCTCTCTCTCTCTCTCTCTCTCTCATGTGTGCGTGCATGCACATACTTCCTCCCCCTTGTGCGACCTCCTCACCCTAGCGCAACCTCCTTGTCCTCCCTCGTGGCCCCCTCCTCCCGCTCGCACAGACTCCTCCCCCTAGTATGACCTCCCCCTCCCACTGGTGCGACCTCCTCCTCCCCCTCCTGCACGACCTCCTGCAACCTTTCATCCCAGCGTGCGACCTGCTCCTACCCCTCCCATGACCTCCTCCTCCCCCGTGCACAAACCACTCGACCCCCCTCTTCAGACCTCCTCCTCCCCCTCGTGCGACTTCCGCCTCCCCTTCACAGGACCTCCTCCCCGTCCTTGCACAACCTTTTCCCCCTCGCACATAGTCTTCCGAGCTCCTCCTCCCCGTCACGTGACGTTCTCCCACCTCTCTTTTGACCTCCTCCAGCTCCTCCTTGCACGACCTCCTCACCTCTCACGTGTCCTCTTCCGACCTCCTCATCCCACTCGCGCGACCTCCTTTCACCTCCCTTCCGACCTCCACACGACCTCCTGCAACCTCTCGTCCTCCTCGTGCAACCTGCTCGTCTCCCTTGCACTACCACCTCCTCCCCCTTGCACAACCCACTCCTCCCTCTCTTTCGACCTCCTCCTCTCCCTTGTGCGACCTCCTCCTAGGCTCCTCCCCCTCTTGCGACCTCCTGCTCGTCCTTGCGCGACCCGCTCCTCCCCCTCACACAGTCTTCCAACCTCCTCCAACCCCTCACGCAACCTCCTCCTACCCCTCGCGCGCCCCCCTTCTCTCCCTCTCACGACTTCCTCCCCCTCTTCTGACCTCTCCCTTACTCGACCTCTTCCTCCCCCCACACAACCTCCTCCTAATCCTTGTGCGACCTCCTCCCCCTCACGCGTCCTCCACCCACCTCCTCATCCCCCTCGCACCTCCTCCTCCTCCTCCCCCTCGCGCGACCTCCTCCTACCCCTCATGCGACCTCCTGCTACCCCTTGCGCGACCTCCTCCTACCCCTCTCGCGCCCCCCTTCTCCCCCTCGCGTGACTTCCTCCCCCTCTTCTGACCTCTCCCTCGCYCSACCTCCTCCCCCTCACACAATATCCTCCTAATCCTTGTGCAACCTCCTCCCCCTCACACAACATACTCCTTGTCGCGACGTCTGCTTCCCCCTCGCACAACCTCCTCCTCCTTGTGCGACCTCCTCATCCCCCTCGTTCCGACCTCCTCCTCCCCCTTGTCCGATGTCCTCCTCCCCCTGGCAACCTCCTCCCTACATCCTCTCCCCTCCATGAATTCTCATCATCTGCCATGCTTACCGTCCTCCTTTTCGTCCCTCTTTCTCCTTTTGTTCCATCCTCCTCCTCTTTCCTCCATTCTCATCGTCCCCTCGCTGCTCCTCTTTTTCGTTGTTCCTCCTCGTCCTCGCTGCTCCTCATGCTGCCTCCTTTGTTTCGATCGGCCCAAACATGCTTCTCCCTCTTCATCCTCCCTCTTTCTCCCACCCTTCCTGCTCTGAGCGCACACGTGCCACATGCCCCAAACGTCTTTCTCCCTCTTCCTCCTCCCTCCTCCTGCATTGCTCCTCCCTCCATCACATCTTTCCATCGCCGCCCTTTTCCATATCAACGCGGCCCCCACCCGGCACCACGGACTGGCGGGAAACAGAACTGAATGGGGGGGTTGAAAGAAAAACCGTGGCAGCAGGGAACGGGACTTTGTGTCCTCCCGGCACTGCAGATCGGGGCGTGTCGCCTGCAACCACCACACCGAATTTCCCTCACTCCCGCCCGCAGTCCCGCCACAAAACGCCGCGGCCGATTTACCTCGCCCCAGTTCCGCCCGCCTCCACACCGAATTTCGCTGGGCCCAGCGGGAAGCGTCACGCTGGGCACTTTGCATTCTTTAAGAGTATAGGGATATTGACAATTAACAAGCAGTGCCACATATGAAAGCCTTCCGGCCTTTTGTCGACTTGGTCCTGTTCCACCTAATCCTCCTCTTCCCCCTTGGTCATCTGTTCAGTACGGCGTTCGGTAAGCAGCAATTGACTGTCTCCTCTTAAATTTTTTTTCTTCCTTTTCCATTTTTGTTTTTTTTGTTTTTTTTTTCAAACAAACGCCCCCTGCAGTGCTGGCAGTGCTGGTAAGAACCAGTCACCCCTCGCACCCTGGGAGACGCTCCATCTATTGCTGGGGCTTATTTTTTTATTCTTCCTTTTCTGTCAATGTGCATCACTATACACACTGAATTGAAGACAAAATCATGAAAATGAGAGAAATCTGAAATTCGCAATTGCTAGGAAACTTCGCACCAAACTTGTATTCAAGAATCACATCGGCATGATGTGCGCCAGGCTAAACTGAGAAGCCTACAGTCAACGAACGCAAAACCATGCAGTTTTGGTCCAGAACAAATTGACTATGGCTACGCACAGACTCTCTCCTCCTTGTCACTGCACAAAATTGAAAATTCACGGATTGAAGACAATGTATTTTACAGTTTCTCCTACTTTGTCACCTCTATTGTGCCAAATTTCCCTGTGCCTACAGGGTCCTACCAGACTCTAGCCTAGAGAGTTCTAGATGTCTAGGTCCTGCAGAGTACTATGCGTCCAAGAGAAGCTAACAGTATTCTTACTTCGAGGTCCCACGTCTGAATCTGGCTGGCAACAAACTTGAAAGACAAACACGAGAACTGATACTTACTGCTCACTCGCCGCAGATCTCGACCATTTCTCAATTTATGCGTGTCATCCTTGCGCAGGGGCCATGCTAATCTCCTCTGTATTGTTCCAATTTTAACGAACGTCCCAAAGGACACTTGGCCCAAATCTCAGGTTCAAATCCCGGCATTTTCTCATATTTTTTCCCTGTCTCCCTTTTCACATTCTATGCCTCCGTTTAAAAAGGGTGTTGCACCAGCTCAATAAAAGAACATGAAGGCTGAACCAGCTCAATAAAAGAACATGAAGGCTGAACCAGCTCAATAAAAGAACATGAAGGCTGAACCAGCTCAATAAAAGAACATGAAGGCTGAACCAGCTCTCGTCCTCCAGAAAGGTGGTGACTATCGCTACTGAAATGCACTGCATGGAGCGCACAAGACTCAAGGGGCTGTTTTAGGAATTTAGAGACTACAACAGGTCTTTTGGGGCCATTGTGGACAGCTCTGTGGGATTCCCATGCTTAAATACGCTTAGTTCAGTACTCCACCTTCACAAGGGAGTTGAAAAAACACATAGCTGTGCATAGGATCCTCTTCTTTTTCTTCTTTTCTTTGGGTGGGGTCGTCTGACCTTTGGCTTGTGTGACGAAACTGCGAACACGTACATCAGCGCTTCCTTCGATAGTTCCAGCGATTATCACAACAGTTGGGCCACGGCCATCATCCACAGCCCAATCCAAATCCGATGGCCAATCAATTGCTATAATGCCTCCATCTGGTGCTGTGAAGCAGCGACGCTGATAGAATGTAGATCCTGGCTCTCCTGCCTCCGCTTCTACCAACCCTAATATCGCATCTTCACTCCAGGCAACCTGCCATCAGCCAAGATTCCAGTTCATAGCGAAACGCAAACCAGTCAATATTAGGGCTATAGACCCTTCGATAAAGAAGGATTGAAGTCTGCAGTGAAAACACAAAAACTACACCCACCTTGCACAGCTCCAGTTCATAGCGAAACACAAACCAGTCAATATTAGGGCTAGACCCTTCGATAAAGAAGGACTGAAGTCTGCAGTGAAAAAACAAAAACTACACCCGCCTCACAGCTACATATTTCCCCTTTCTACCCTCCGACGACCCCCCAATGTCCTTCCACCAATTATATTCCCTACCTAAAGGGGCCGCTTTCACACTCCCCTGGACCAAAAGACAAACCAGTTAGGATGACGTGTCCACCACAGACAAGTGATGGTAGGTGTGGCATTCTCAACCACCCCCTGGTTTGCCTTAAAATAAGTGCCATTGGTACTCAGGTCGTTATGTCAACAGGCTCAGTTTGAGATACCCATGCACTGTGCCTACCCTCTCCTATGTCGATAGGCTCAGTTTGAGATACCCATGCACTGTACCTAACCTCTCCGAATGGTACACGTCTAGCTGTTGGAAAACACATCAAGATTCAAGAGTCAAAATTCTGATCACAAAACTCTGACCAATACAATAATCTAAGACACTGCTTGGTTACCAAAGGCATACACATGATACTGTTTGGTCACCTCGTTCTTTCGTGCATGAAAGGCATTCGAATAGCAGCATGCTGCTTATACCACAATTCCTGAAGTTGCAACATGCTTGTACCACTGGAAAAGGTGATACAGCCCAATTTTAATCTGGTAGCGTGGACTTATATTTGAAGGGCCCAAGCCTGGCTTGACAAGTCCTCTGGTGAAACATCTCCCGAGAATGATAGGGTACTCCTAAAGTCGCACATGCGTATACCACTGGAAAAGGTAATACAGCCCAATTTTACTCTGGTAAGCCGGGCTTGACCAGTCTGGTGAAACATCTCCTGACTATGACAGGGTATGATCTTCCCCAGGCAAAAAACATAGATGCAATGATGCATACATTTATGAACCAGAGAATGGGATTCAGTTCAGTTCAGTTCAGTTGACAGAGACAGCATGACTTCTTTTCCATACCTACGATACGGACCCCTGGAAAGGGATCCAGACTCTGGGGGGTCCGGCATCAAGTACCAGTTTCCGGTAACCGGTCCAGATGGCAGGCCCCCAGGCCAACAGCCACTTTTTGGGGGGGGGTGGCCCAGGGCGTTTTTTCACGCCCTTGCCCCCCCCCCAAAAAAAATGGCCCATATTTTTTTCAGCCTTTGGGCAGCCATCCGGAAGGGGCGGAAAATGAACTTCTGGCCCCCCGTGCAGTTGGTTGGTGGGCTGTTTTGTTTTGTGCTTAAAGAAAGAATATTCCGCAGCAGCGCCTTGTTTCCATTCGCGCTGTTCATAGCAGCCCTTTTCAGCGTGTTCTAGGCCAGCGCGCCACCCATGTTCGAACACAAGTTCATAGCTGCGCTTTCCAGCGTGTTCGGATTCAATGCACACAACACAAAAAAGATATGGAGACTTACCTGTTCTCTCCCCCTCTCTCTGTGTCTCTCTCTCTCTCTCTCTCTCTCTCTGACACACAAACACAAAAAAGGGGGAAAAAAAGTGGCAGTGTATATTTCCATGTTCTAGCGGAAGATTCATTCCGATTTTGCTCATCCTATGAACGGCAGTAGCCTCTCTCTATCTGGCTGCGCGCATGGCTGGACAGCAGTGTATATTTACATATGCTAGTGGAAGATTCATTCCAATTTTGCTAATCCTATCAATGGAAGTAGCCTCTCTCTATCTCTCTGTGTGCATGTCTGCAAAACTCTCTATCTCTCTCTCTCTCTCTCTCTCTCTCTCTCTCTCTCTCTCTCTC